TCCACGAAGTTGTAGGCAATGCCGTAGTCGAAAATCGACACGTTGTTGTCGGAACTGGATCGAGCCAGCTCATTCTTGCTGCAATGTACGCCCTTTCCGATCCGTTAAACGATCCGAATCCAGTCAGCGTTGTGTCCGCCTCTCCATACTACTCTGTAAGCCTTGATGATCATAATTTAATCCCACTTGTCAATTTCTTTTTTTTTTTTTGAAGAGTAGTAGTAGATCTTGAAAAAGTCAATCTTGTGTTGTAATGCATGAGACAAACCTTGTCTCTCCATCTGAAATTTATTGTTGGTTTATTGCACAACATCTTCTGACAGGTGGACAAACATAGTAACATGGACATGTAAAATATAAATAAATAAATAAAAAATAAAAACATTAATAAACATGTGATCAATCATTAATCCTCTTGTTCATGATCTTAATTGTTTTTTTGCAGTCATATCCTGAGATGGCTGATTTTTTACGTTCCGGGCTATTCAAATGGGCGGGCGATGCACGAACGTTTGACAAAGACGGGCCCTACATAGAGATGGTGACCACTCCGAATAACCCGGATGGTTTTATTAGAGAGCCCGTCGTTAATCGGGCCAAAGGAATGCCCGTTCACGATCTTGCTTACTATTGGCCACAATACACAGCAATTACTTCTGCTGCAGATCATGACATCATGCTTTTCACCGTTTCCAAATGCACTGGCCATGCAGGATCAAGAATCGGGTATTTTTCGAAAAAACAAAAATTAATCTTCCTTATCAATTCCTCTTGCAATATTATATAATTCGATCTTTACTGAATAAACGGTTTTGTATTCTTTATGTGAAGGTGGGCGATTGTCAAGGATGAAGCAGTCGCTAGAAAAATGGTGAAGTTCATCGAAGTCAGCTCAATCGGAGTGTCGAAAGAGGCGCAAAACAGAGCAGCCACCATTCTTGAAATCATTTCCCTTAGCTGCTGCACCAAAAGCGATGACAACAAACTCGAGAATTTCTTCGAATTCAGCCATGCACTAATGGCCGAAAGGTGGAAGAAACTCAGAGAAGCGATCAAGAACAACAAACTATTTCACCTCGCCAAATTTCCGAAACTGCACTGCAATTTCGCCAAAGACTACACCGAAACATATCCCGGTAATTACTTACACGTATATATATATATATATATATATATATATATATTTTTTGCTCGTATATTTCTAAACAAAAGCCGATGCTTATACGATTTTTTTTTTTTTTTTGACAGCTTTTGCGTGGATGAAATGCAACGAGAGCGGTGTGGACTGTGAGAAGTTGCTAAAGGGGCATAAGATTTTGACAAGAAGTGGAAAGAGATTTGGGAGTGATGAAGAGTATGTGAGGATAAGTATGCTGAGTAGAGATGAAGAATTTGATCTGTTTTTGCTGAGGATTTCAGCTATTGTTCATCATGACAATTAATTTGATTTGAGTTTTTTTAGGTTTTTTTATTATTTATTATTTATTATTTATTATTATAGTCTAGTTTTGCACCCATGGTCCTAACTATTTAGGCATTGTGGTGGATAAGATGCTTCTTACACTTGACATTCTTGTTTTTGTTCAGGTGTTATTTTATTTAAATAACTGTTGGGAATAATTTAGATTTTGTTATTTCATGGAATTATCCTTTATTTTTTTTTTTCTACCAAATTCT